TTGTCAGTTACCACCATATTAGATGATTTTGGGCTTCTTATCAGGAAATATAGACAAAGCTTTGCAATTTAACCTACAAATTCCTGAGGTCAAGCTTGAAGTATCAGTGCCAAATAATAATAATAAAGATAAATGATCATTAAGTCCAAAGCCAAAAGCTAGTCCAAACCTTCCCATTATATGTAATTGAGTTAGGTACAGAAATATTTCTCTGAATAGGAGCCTTATTATATCATCTTCAGCATACTGAAAGCATGAAATGACTCATGACACTCATTAACTATTTTTGAAGAGGAATTCCTTGCAAAAAAATTTAAGATTTACAAAGTCCTATGTTACTAAAATTCAGTATTAGATTATTATTATTTGACCAATTATACTTTTGGACAAATGCCATATTTAAGGCTCAATATTGTCACGTCCTATCAGAAGTAAAATTGGTTTTATTTTAATAAAAAAAGGTTGATAATTTCCTCTGAACGGTATAAAACAGTAATCCTGTCAGGGCAGTTCATAATTAGACCTGAATCATGACATTATTGTTATACAAAGAACTATTTCAGATGTATTAAGAGGATTTCATTCAGCATTAATCACAGTTTTTCTCTTACTTTGTCTTTAAATTTTTGGAGACAGTATGTTCAGGCAGATTTAGCTGTAAAGTAAATGGGAAAGCAACAACACAATTTTGTGTCTCCTAAAATATCTTTGGCGGCTTTTTTTTCTGTGAAACATGGCACAATCCTCATGTGTACAACTGCTGCACCTAGGGCACATGTATTTTGTGCAAGACAGCATGTAACACTGTTAGCACTTGAAATGGCCTGAAATTTGGACAAAACACACCAATGTCTTTGAAAAGTGTCATGAGATATTTTGCAAACGCAACCAAGATATCTAACAAACGCAACAAGAACAACTTTGTTATGCTGTCTGGTCCAAAAAGCAATGCTTTTAGCATATGTTGTTAACAGGGGCCTTAGCTGTGCTTGATCACTTCCCAAATAAGCTGTTTAAACACGAAGCATTAGGCTAGAAAGCTGAGCACTTTCACAGAGGGTGGGGGTTAACAATTCACAGTACTAAATCCCGTTTGATCTGCTGAGAAATTCAATCCAGCAAGAGCATGATTTTACTTAGCAGTGCATCAGGCCGGGAAGTTGCCAGTGGTGGGATGTTTTCCTGCCAACTGAGGTCGGGCTACCAGAGCTGGCCCATGTGCCATTACATGGAGTCCTGCCATCCCCCTTCCTAATGGCCCCTCTCCCTTTTGCTGTGTGTTTGCACATGCGCGTGTGTGCGTGTATTCATGTCTGAGCTCCACTTTTTTTGTGTGACAGCTGCTGTAAGTGAGTTGTGGATGCGTTTCTGGAAGTCTCCCAAGGCACAGATACTCCCAGCCCACAAGAAGGTGCCTCATTCTCCAGGTGGAGGCTACCTGGCTGAGAGATGCACCGCGACGTATTTAAAAGATGGGTAGACGTGGTGCTAGGGATATAGTTTAGTGGTGGTTTTGGCAGTGTTAGGTTATGTTTGGACTCGATGGTCTTAAAGGTCCCTTCCAACCTAGACAATTCTATGATTCTATCAATGATGGAAGAGAAGCAGAGTTTTTCCCTAGCAGGCCAATGCATTCACTGCTGTGGTTGCCTCTGAGGGCTGCCTGTCAAAGCCAAGAGCATGATGGAGCTGTACAGGTAGTGTTTTCCTCTCATGCACATTCTACATGTGACAGATTCACTGTGTGCTTCCTTGCAATGCGCTACAGCCAGGTCTTGGAGAAGGATGGAAAAATTGTCAAGATGTTGCCACTTTGACAGAAAGCTGGGTGAGTTCCCTTGCTTTTAATAGAATGTACCTTTATTTTACTTCTGCTAATGCAGAAAGCAGCTGATCATATTCTGTGGGGCTCACATTATTTTTATAGTGCTTTGGAATAAACCATAGCATATTGCATGTCAAGAGCGGTAAGGATTTTACAGAAGAAGCCAGGCCATGGATTCCCAAGGATGCACTTCGCTTCCTCCAGACCTCTGAGAGAAGTTGAGTGCTACACTGCATCATCAGAGACACAGTAGCTCCTTAAAAATAGAAAGGATTGCTATTTGTCACTTTAAAGTACATTCAACACGCGCTTGCCTATTTGGGTTGTTAGAGAATTTCATCATGCACTTGTGCAACATCCACAGTTGCAGCTCTTTGTCTCTGCTGTAATACAAACAGTGATGATAAATTAATGTCTGGCTTAGCAATATTGTTACAGTCTCCAATTACGAGAAAGTGTTTTAATGTAGAGGAGAGAAATCGAATGGCAGATTCCATTGTCTCTCACCCTTCCTGTCTGTGAACAAGCTTGTCCCTTTTGTAAACCCCACGTCACTTGGTGGGGGGGAGGAGGCATTGTGGAAGACCTCCACCCTTAAAATAAAGGTAGCGCTTCAGTAGTTATTTCTTGGAGATCTTTTCTAGTAGAGTTAACTATTTTAAAAGGAGACGGGAAGGGTTTTTTGAGAACCAAGTACAAAGGTTTCACAAGTAGCAAGAGCCAGAGCAGGAAGAGGTGATATGCATTGCAAACGTGATGCTTCTTCCAAACCCAAAATCACCATCACAGAAGCAACAAGTTGTTGTTCACCCTCCAAAGTCTGGGACTGTCTCCGTACATGATGCAGAGTGGACAGCCAGAATCCCTGGATAACCAGCTTCTTCAGCTATGCTCTCACAAGGCAAACATTGCTGCCTCGGATTGGTCAGCTTGAGCTCACATAACACCCTGGCTGAGACTGAGAAGATGACTGGCATTGCTCAGGAGTACCATACCAAGAATAAACATCCACAGAGCCATGAAGCCACTGCTCTCAAGGGCTCACTGAGTTTCCTGGAGACACAAAAATCAACTGCCAAATAGCACTCCTGGCCTACTGGAGTGGCTGCATTGCTACACTCTCTCAGAAAGGACCGCATGCTACCTTTAGGCTGGAGAAGTTTCTAGGCGTGTGTTTACATCTGTGCTACAAAGAGGCATGGAAATCTGTGGCAGGCAAGGGTTAGTTATGTTGTTTCCTTGGTTTTCATGTCATACATATGTCAGGATATGGTCATGAATACATAGACTAATTTTGTTCATTGGCCTCACAGCCTGAGAGAGACTGAAGGCAGGGAGCCTCTGCAAGCAGCATTATTTGATATCTGCAAGCTTGTGGATTAAGGCAGAGAGCTGGGAGAAATGAAAGGGGTCCCCTATCATGTGTAGAAACTGCTAAGTTATAGACAACAGAAGGGTGGCCAAGACAGCAGGATGCGAGGAGCGGAGGAGTGAAGACAGCACGGATAGCCATACCTCCTCTTTGTATCTCCCAGGTGCTGCTCCCTGGACAAGTTCAGCTCACAGACCACGAAGTCTGCATGACAGAACAGCAGCTGGGAGATATAAAGACAAGGATTTGAATGCAGTGTGTATTTTAAAATGCGAAAATACTGCACCAGAGTCCAAGCCCTCCTCGTCCTTTCCCCTGCTTAGACTACCTTCAGAACCATTAATCTCTAGGAAAAACTAGATTGGCCTTTGAGCTAGGGCTTTCCTCTCTGATTACAGTGTTTGGACTAAGCTGTGCTGGCTAAACCCCAGATGCTAGAGCTGTGCATTAGAGGCATTCCCATTTCTAGCTAGAGGATGCTATGTTAAGGGACTGCCACCTGGCAGCATCTTTAAGGAACTGCAAAAACCCTGAGCAGAGATAGAGGTTGGTGAGCATCAGCCTTCCTGGAGACTTGCAGGTGTACCCAGGAAGGAGAAATCAGAGTCGAGCAAGATGGGTGTTACTGACTGAACTATGGTGTTAAGAGGCTGCTACTGTGATAAAACACGACAGGCCAGTGAAACATTTAATACAACGACCACCTTATCAGCAATTTTCCCACTCAATTAAAAAACTGGTTTTCCTTTGAGAAAAATCCCACTGTTTTCCCTCTCTTAAAGTAAGATGAAGAAGCCTGACCTAGTTGTACTCAGTCACTGCTCCTTTTTAGCTAAGAGCTAAGCTCTTGCTTTGTAAAGACACACCCAGGGAGGCAGGTCCCACCTTATTCCCACTCTCTTGGGAAACCAGGGAAGACCAAAGGTGACAACTTTACTGAAGAGTGGGGTGGGATGAAAAGAACAATAAAATAATGTCCCTTGGCCAAGACCTGATAACCCAACTTTTTTAATTTTGAAGTTTTCAATACGGCCCCCTTGCTTGTGCTACCCTTTCTGTTTTTTTCTGTGTTGTGACAAGCTGGCGGACAAAACAATGAGTATCTCCTCAACACATGATCTAAATAAGTCTATTGGCCAACTTGCCTTTTGGAAAGTGTCCTCTGACGCCCAGTATCCCCAAAAAACTTCTGAAGTTTTGTTTGTAAACAGAGACCTGCACAAACAAGACAAATGTGAGGCTTAGCTGAGCCTGAGAGCCTTTTGCCAATATCTGCTATGCTTAGCAGGTGAAGGGTCCCTGATCAGCAAATGGAGTCCAGTCATTACTAATGGTAGCAGTAAGCTTGGGTTATCTTTTCATAATTTATGTATAAATTTGCATACAGAGAAAAGCTCAAGAGAGATTGAGCTGGAGAGATTGAGTGCCATCTCATTTTTAAAGCCAGCACAAACAGGTCCTGAACCACACCACTAATGCACTTTCAACTGTGACCACTGCTAGATGTGGCAGCTCACCTAAGTCTGCTGAGCCAAGAACGCCTTATATTTGCTCATACATTGAGGCTATGAAGAATTTTGCCAGTGAATATCAGATGAACACTTTTTTTCAAGAAAGATATGAGAAAAGCCTACTGTGCTGTTTATGCAACTCACCATTCAGACACTGACCTGGAGCCAGAGTTGGTGGCCTAGATGTGAAAGTATCCATGTAACCCCCTGCAGATGCCTCATGCTTCCAAGATCCCTCTCATCCCCCAAACTTCGTAGAGCTGAATTCATCAGGGAGACCATGATGACTTACCAGTCTGTGTGTGCATCATCGATCACCAGGAGGATCTTGGGTTTCTGGGCCACAGGTGGCGCGGGGCTGGCTGAGTGATCAATTAGTCCTGCAGCCGCTTGTGTGGTTTGCTTCATGGCACTGGAGATGGAGCTGAAGATGCTGCTGCCAGTAGAGGAGGAGTGTGAGGGCTGCGGTGGCTGTGGATGCTTTCGCTCTGTGGCAGGAGAAACCGGGGAGCTCGTGGAGTTGTCGGGGCGCTGCAAGTCCATCATGTAGCCATTGGGCAAATTTGCCACGAAACTACTGTCGGAGAGACGCCTCCGGAGGAAATTCATTGTTGCAGTGTTGTCTGGAAACCTTCTCAGCAAGACCGAGGCTGAACAATGGTGTCACTGGTCTCAGGGAACGTTTCTACGTGCGTGTAGTTTTTCAGCTATATTTAATTTCTCTCCTGTGGGAAGAGAGTCAAAGACATATATGTGAGGTACATACTGTAAGTCTGAGATAAGAAAAAAAGAATCTTTTGACCTTTTAAATTAGTACCTTAATCAACAATAAGAGGAAAAAGAGGAAAAAGGTTTCTATGCAGTATGCTACATTGGTAAAGCTAAACAGACAGGACAAAGTATGTTTCATGGCTCTCATCCCAAAATATTTTCTGTCAGGGCAGACCAGCTTACACTAGCTTAGTGGCTAACAATTCTATAACTGTTCCCTGTGGAGAAAGAAAAAAATATTCTGACCATAAATGTTAATTTTCAAGAGAGAGACAGCTTATTTCTGGTATTTTGTGTGTTAGAAATGACACCTGCTTGTTACAGATCCAGTAGGATAAAAAGTTGTATCATCTTTGGCAGGCTTGTGAGCAAGACTCTGAATTTAAGGCACAAACATCCTAAATTCAAATAGCATTTAGAAAATAAATCACAGAAAAATCACCATATACATCTTGATCAAGTTCAGTGGCAGCTTCAAACTACTTGTTTCTCTCCCTGCTGCTCTCTGCACTCAAAACTGGACCTTGAGCCAGATGCATGCTGGTGGTTGCTAGACACAGCAGACTACCTGATTTTACAAGTTCACTTGTAGGATTTTTGCAGGTACTCAAAACTAGAAGTTTGGCTGTTGTCTAATCTTCTCTTTTTTTTTTTTTCCTGTTGTCGGGTTTTTTGTTTTGTTTTGTTTTAAGAAGAAAGGTCTCTTCCTCTGCTCTTTTCCAGTGAGAAAATGAACACTGTGAAATATAACTATTTGGCTCTTCTCCTTTGACCAAAGTATGATGACTTTTTTACCCAACACACTAATTTTTCAGCAACTAAGTAACATCGCAGAGTTAGCAGAAATTTTAATTTTTTTTTTCACCTATAGAAACAGTCCAGAAATGAGAATTCCACAGTAATTCTCCAAGACCTTTTATCTGCTGAGACAGCGTTTGAGTCTTGACCAGAGGCTGCTTGGTGAGATTTAGGGGAAAAAAAAAAAAAAAAGAAACATATTGTTGGTAAAACATAGGTGTTTTTCAAGACAGACTATCTGCAGCAACAAAAGTGAGAGTTATCCCATACATCAAGTGAGATGAGTCACGTGAATTCCTGGTATCATCATTAAATTATGCCCCAACCTCCTTAAAATCTTTTTGAATAAGCCCCCTCTAAATGCTGGAGCTCCCTGCCGTTGCCTGACTGGTTTGGCCTCCCTTATTGCTCACGCTCTTGTCCCAGTCTCCGATTGCCTCCTGATGGCAGAAAACTGTCTTTCCCTGTTGGTCCAAGAGAGCTCAGCGTCTGTGAGTCTCCCTCCTGGAGCTGTGGCTGAGAGCTCATGGAGCAACTGAACAGCTTTCTTAAAATAAACTGTCATTTATTTTCACCTATAGGGATTTACAAAGCTTTGGAGACAAAGGATTCAGACCGGTCTATGTCCATACCTCTCTTATCCCTCAGAGCCTTAGGAAGGCTTGGCTGAGCCTGCCTGGAGTAAGTAAGCTACAAAGAGCCCCTTGGCATGTGTCCCCCAAATCTCGTCATCCATCACCACCCCGACCTTGTGGGCACAGGATCCGTCTGGAGCAGAGGGCTCCCTGCTGAAGCTGCTGACGTTGGCTTATTAGAGCAATTTTTCTTTTGATTTCTCAGCCCTGGCAGTACAAGTCCTCTGACTTTGCCAGAGTCTGGAGTTAGTCTTTTCCCAGGGAATAGCTCAGGAAATCTTTAATGACTTCCTGCCACATTTGCAGTCAATAACGTACCTCGAGGCATTGTGCTGTCTTCCCACCCAGTCCTGGTGTGCCCGGTGACTGCACAACATCAGCAAATGCGTGACCTGGTGAGCACTTTGGTAGCACTGATGGTTTAGGCAGCAATTGTTCCAAAAGGCAGGTAACCTGTAGTATGCACATGGATTATGAGCTAGCTACTCACCTCATATATACACCCATACAGCACCTGGCCTACTCATGTCCTACTGCAGCAGCTGTGGGTGCCAGAATAGAGCCATCTACTCTTGCCTGTCCAGGATGACCAGACTGGTAGAGCCTACAAAGACTTTGGGGCATTTCTATAGGACAGGCAGGGTAAAAACGTGCTGGGCTGTTCTCTGCTCAGGAAGGAACCTGTGTTTTTTTTTCACCTTGCATAACACAAATAAGAAAAATCCCGTCACTTTAATGACAGTCCACTCAAGAGTAGGTCTGGTCCTGGTTAGGAGGAGCACCCCAGAGATCTGTCTACTGTCGCAAAGGTTCGAAATGAGTATCCTGTTGCCGTGTACAGCAATTAGGTGTGCTCTCTTGGAGGATCTTCGTGTTAACTGGCAAGGGGTGGGATGTAATTTCAATACCAACCTCAGGAAAAGTGGTTTTAGGACGAGACGCCTGTCCTTTGCACACTTTGGACAGCATCACAGAGAGCTGTTGGTTCCTGCTGTGGCAGCTCTCAGCCACGGGAGGGAACCTGACCCCAGCCATACAGGCTGGACAAGGCTCTTTTCATAAGGCAGTATCCTTGGGATAGGGTCCAGCAGCACTTACATGCTCTTGAAAGCGTTCATTGCCCACTGCCAGGCATTTACATGGCTGCTGCTTCCTCTGTGAGATTTGCACTCTCCAAAAGAACATGGGCTCCTTGCAAAGCATCAGCAAGTAAAGCAACGGGCAAATGTCTCTGCTCTGCACTGTGGACATGGAAGCATGACGGGAAGAGCCAGAGTACCCTGTGATGTGGCTGGCTGGAAGGCACACAGGTTTTCTCCCCAACAGGGCTTCCCAAATTGTACCCTTCAGGGTACTATTCACAATAAACAATTTGCCATCCCTACTGCAAGGCCATGACTGCTTGCCTCCTGGACATTTTTAAACAGCAGTATTTACAGTGTCCCATCATTTTTTCCACCAGGGGTTTGGTGGTGGAAGATGTTGCCCAGGAGACACGGGGAGCTGGCAAAACTCTCTTGTCAGAGAGTTTGGGACGCTGGGCTGAGGCTGCCCTTTCCCTTTGCTGGCTGGCACTGCCTCCACTTGCTGCGAAGACTGGGCTGCGTGCCGCTGGCTTGGGAAGGAAGGAGAGAAAAACTAAGCATCTGATGTCACAGGGAATTCTCCCTCCAGCAGAGCACGTAAAGGCTGAATTCAAACAGGATGACACTGCTGCAGCAGAGAGCAACAACTGACTCTGATCTGCGATGGGGGATGGCAAACCCACCAGGAACTTTGACTTTGGGTCTGTCAAAATGATAGCACAAACTGTCCTCCTCTAATTACATGCATTTTTCTAATGAGCTGGGTAATATAATTAAAATACACTTTCTCTTTTTTAAAAAACTGTAGTTATTGGCGGTTTCACTGGATCGATTTATCGATTGTCATTGGTGCTGCCACAGAGGACATCTCTGCAGTGGCAGCAGTGTAAACTGCCAGCAGATTCCTTTGCTTACTGCAGACCCTCATGATCTGCTCTGCATTGTGCTCACCTGCTGTTATTTAACTTTCAGCAATAGGGATTTTCCTACTGGCGCAGGTTGAGTAGGTTAGGACCTCATTTTCCTACTGCTTGAAACTCCTTGTGGAGAAACTGAGGGCTCAGCACATCAGGCCAAATCTGGCTCCACACAGCTCTCACAGCGTGCAGCTCTCATGCCAGCATCCACCTGGTGTACGTACAGAGCCTACCCTAGCAGGCAAGCAGGGCTGTAGCTTCAACAAAGCCAGGAGCCAACACCTCCTTCAGAAGCAAGACAACCCTGATAAGCGGTATTTTGTCACTTCAGAGCTACAGGTAGGAGAGCTGCTGGCTGTACACCATCAAGTTGTACTTGCCTCTGTGCACACTAGTGTCTTCTTACGGCTCACATGGAGACAGGTCACCTACTTGATGCTGTGCCAGGCACAAACAAACCTGCCCATAGCGAGTCCTGTAGCACCCTGCATCACTGAAATACAAGCTGCGATAGAGCAGCTGCCTCCCACCACACAGGAGTAATCTGCTCCTGTGTGAAACAGCTGCTCCTGAAAGCTAGCTGAGGAAACAGTGGGCATCTGGGCCATGGAGCTGCAAGTCAGGGATCTGGGCTATGTTTCAAGATGGGGAAATAATAAACAAGGCATAGGAGAATGAGTGAGTCCTGAGGAAAGGGAACAGGCAGGAGAGAGGGGGAGAATAGGAGGAGGAGAAGGCACAAACAGAATGGGAGGAAGTAAGTGGCAATCGGCTTAACCAAAAGACAACGTGGGAACATGGGGAAATCCCAACAATGAGCACAGTCAGGGAATCAAAAGGAAATGATGTGAGCAACTAAATGAAGCAAGAGCAAGGTCAATTGGAGCTGACCTTGAAAACAACAGCAAAGAGGCTGGCACCATCAGCCCCTTAACTAAGACACAGCTAAACTTCCTGGCTGATATTTTTGGAAGGGCAAGGGAGGGTAAGCAATCTGCTCCCTCAGCACGTTGACAGCAGCCAGGCAGCTACCTGCTTTTTCTCAAGCACATACTCCACAGAGATGCAAGTTATCTCAGAAAGCCTGTTGACATGTGTTAGAAATCAAGAACAAAACGTTCACTTAAACCTCTTGCTGAGTTACTTTCTAATGTGAGGTAGCATCAAGAGGGAACCAAACTCAATTGGCTGATATTTGTTAACTGTGCTTAGATTTCCCCTGAGCTTGTTATCTGTGCCATCAGGTAATGATCTGACATGACCACACCAGCTTGCGTGTCTGATTCCTGCTCTTGACAGCCTCAGTGGAGCAATGCTGGGGGCGTCAAGATGGAAAACCAATATGGAGAGATTATCCCTCCGCCTCACCATAAAGGGCACACTTACTTCTGCCCTGTGGTAGACAGAAAGATGAGGGGATGCTCCTCACCTGGCAACGGCCACTTACTGGTACCCCTCACATCCATTTTGTGGATAGCCTTCTGCATACATTCACATTTTAACATATGGGTCCCTTCCT